CTCCGGTTGTACCGTCGAAACACACTTGCGTACCGATCGTGATTCGGCGACGTCGTCCGCGACTTGTCAATTTAACGGCGATTCTCCGTATTAAAATCTTTGTAAGCCTTATATATGTGACAGTGTGCTTAAATAAAAGTTTTGTATAAGTTCGTTTAAACCATACACGTCTTATATAGTTCGTTAACACCATCCTCCATTCCCGACTCCTCATATACGAGTATATCAGCTACGCGGAACGCCCGTGACGCGACATTTTGTAGTGATTTAGTATTGTTTAATTTATGACTATTATTTTTATTATTGTATTATTCAATTTTATCATTAGTGTTAAGTGAATGGCAGTGAAAATTCGCATATTTCACTTGGACTTTAACGTAATTCTAACGTCGACAGATGTTACTCTAATAAAATTTCTATCGCGCGTTCTACGGCGAGTTTTCCAATTACATCTAGCATTCGCGGGACACAAGAGCTGAATGCTTAATGAGAAAGCGACCTGAATTCGTCGCATTTATTTAAACTAGAGAAATATATATATTAAATACGCGATTCACACGTTACGCGACTTTACATTGCACAAACGGATTTGAGATGAAAAATTTCTGAGGCGCAATACTGGGGACGCGCCGCGCCGCGCCGTGACCGCGAATCTTTCTTCGCGCGTCTAAATATAAATCGTGACGCCGAAATTCTTCGTGAGTTTCTGCAATCGGACGTACTTACGGCAGGTTGGTTTCGAAGAGTGATAGTCCGATGGCCAACCTGTCAAGCAGTATGGTAATAGTTCGCGTGAAGATGCCCTTGGGGTTGTCTTTCCCGGCGAGCGAAAATTATTTATTTAAAGTTGGCTTTAATTCTCTAAAACTAATCTCTACCTGGGTGAGAACGAATACTTGTATCCGAAATTTCCGTCATCCCATGGGAAGCACCGCTTGCTATACGGGACGCGCGAGAGACAACGCCGCGGCCGAGATGCTGACGAATGAGAAACGCGAATTTTTATGAGCAGTAAAGCGTGAATTGTGAGTGGAGATA